AGCCAAAAAAATTTTCTTGAAATAGTTTCACTGACGCCGTAGGGAACAGCGTCAAAAAAACGGGAATCTTGGCGGGAATACGGGGGGGCGCCCAAACCGCCAGGATAACCGTCAGGGGAAGCGGCAATCCTGTCCCCGTCTCTCCAGGCGGGTATAATACCCACTTTTTATGGTCTCAGTGGCCGCCTGGATAGACGTCCACCCTGGACGTCTATAAGGCCGTTTTTAGTGCGTAAACCCTAGCGGTTTACGCCCAAATTATTTGCTGGGATTATTCAGCAATAATGGAATGAACTGTACAGCACACACAAAATTTAAAAAATGCTCCAAACACAGCAATTTCCAAACTTAAGGACAAATTATTTCCTGTGCATGGCACTATCTCACACTGTTAACAGTTTAATCTGGCTAGGAATGAACCTTAGCACAAAAAAAAAACTCACTTCCTGCAGGAAAACCTTTGGTGCATGCATGGCACACAAAAAATGGTTGGTGGGAGGAAGCTGAAAAACCTCAGAAGCTGTTGTATCATGAAACCCTGACGGAAGTCGGGGGTTTTTTAAATTAAAAAAGTGTTGTAAGTTGAAACCGACGTAACATGGGCCCATCATAAGTCAGGGGCCAACTGTACTTTTGTAATATCTGCAAGGCTTAACAGAGTTGGGGATTGGAATGCTGCAGCTTCAGCTAGAAAATTTACTAATACTATGTTCATCACAGTCAGTGTGACACAATTGCGCAATACATGCTGTTGATGATTTGGAGTGTTCACTTGTAACAAATATTGCCAGTACACTACTTTACTGTACTTCCTGTATTGCATTGCACAGCAGTCAAGTGAAACAAAATTTCACTGCTCTGGGAAACCTGCTCAGAAAACTTATCAACTGTTCTAGGACTTCTGTGATGTACTGGTACGCAAATAATTTAAAAGCAAGCATTCCTTGCACTGGCAAAGAGTATACATGAATAAATAAAGAGTAAGTCGTCGCCCCCCCCCCCCTGGATGCGGTCCACTGCTCACTTATTCATTCGTTGCCTCACTTTCTACTCCAAGTTACTGGCAGCCATAAGCACTGACGATTTCCGGGAATATTTCCTGAAATTTTCTTTCTGGTGAAAACAAAAGAAAAATTTCAGTTGATCTTTGAAGCTTCCGCCATCATAAGAATGACGGGATTATGTGCGTGAGTATGTGACTGTGTGCTGTGTGAAAGTCTGCAAAAAGGGTCACTCAAGTGGAAACCAGTGCGTTTCTTCCACTTCACTGCTGTGTTGAAAAATGCATCTTGATTCCTGCCCATATTCACAGTAAGTGTTGACAGCTCAGAATTTACAATATTTGAAATATTTCCTGATGTGCCGCAAACACCTTTTTTTTTAAATGAGATGAAAAATGGATGTGGGCATCATACTGATGGAAGGGATACATTTTTCAAAAATATTTTAGTGGTTTATGTGTGCATTATACTTGATTCTCAAGGGCAATTTTTGACCAATTTTATGAGAAAAGCTTTTTTCTAGAAAAAGTTGAAGATGAATGCGAAGTATTTACTGAAATACAAGATGTTCTTCATTATGATGCACCTTACCTTAGTTGTTTTAAATCTTGAATTTACCCAAAATGTTGTATATAAGACACTCATCCCAGTTTTAAATTGCTGAGAATTGTTTTTTTTTTCTTTTACAGTATAAAGTTGAACAAAATAATCCAATGAATAAACGTAATAATATGAAGCATTTTAACTGGATTTGAGCCAAACAGAGCTCCCTGCTCATTATTAGCTCCTACAAAGTAATCAATTGTGCTTTGCACCACTAATTTCATACTTTTTGCTGCAAAAAATGTATGATCGATATTACAAGCTTTTCTGCCTTAATTTTCCACAAAACAAAACATCTGTGCGTGATGGTACTAAAGTAAATGTGGTAGTTGAATCCAGGTTCAATTCATGTTTTAATTCAAATTTGGGTTTCCTTTTTTTAAGATTCCAGTTTTGAGTCTCTAAAAATGGGGTGCGCATATCTTACTTGCTGGGGATACAATTCAATAAAAACTTTAGACTGAAAAACCTGGGTGTGAATCTCATTCAAGGGCTCCTGTTACTCGAAGAAATACAGTATTTTCAGTTTGTAATGTGTATAGTATAGTATAGTACAGTACTGTATACTGTTCACTGAAGCGGAGCGTATATTGAAAGTAATGCAGTTATCGCCACGCAGCATTGGAATCCTGGATCAACGTTCGCCCAATCTCATCTGTGCCTCTTGGTGTCAATGAACGGCACTTATTGGGGTAAATTACTGTAACAACTGGACTAGACGCAGAGGCTTTGGAATGCTTGAATAAGATGCAAAAAATAGGGATAAACCGCTTCATGGGTTGCTATTATTGCTCCTGTTCATTTATGCAACATTATTCATTTGCTGCAGTAGCCCTTTATTTGTTGTACAAGGGTTCTAACAAAAGTTCTTGGAGTCGACCACAAGCCATCACCGGAGATGGATGAACTTCTTTTTATTGGATTCCTCATCCTTTTTTAACCTAGAACTTTTTTTTTCATCCCTAGACAAAAAATGGAAACTGGGAAAAAATTGAATGAGTTTTTTCTGGTGCTGTGCCCACCCATTCTAACAAAAGTTCTTGAAATGAAAATGAAGAAAAAACTTTTGGGTCAAAAAAATTTTCTTATTGACAAAAAACACTTTCCCTTGAAGCCCTTCTTTCACAGTTGGAAACAACCAAAAATCTCAGGGAGCAAGATCAGGGGAGTAAGAAGGAAGAGTAAAAAGCTGAATGCCTGAATTTGAAATGAAATCAAGAGTTTTCAAAGCAGTGTGTGCAAGAGCATGCATGTGCACAACTGCTCTTTGGTCATGGGTGTGCACTTCATCGGATACAACTTGTTCAAGTTTTTATTTCATGTTTCCATTTTTGTCTGGGGATGAAAAAAAAAACTATTCTAGGCCAGAAAAGGATGAGGAATCCAATAAAAAAATGTTCATCCACCTCTGGTGATGGCTTGTGGTCGACTCCGAGAACTGTTAGAACCCTCGTATGACATTTTTCCAATATAGAACTTTTTGCTTGCAAATGTTTTGAGATACATTGAATGTTGGTAAACCAGGTATTTATGCTATTGCTTGAAAGTTCTGTACTTTACTATGGATAATAAGGATATTCCCAAAAATTCCCATATGGGTTATAAAAATATTTACTGTGCGTGTATGCATAAGGAAATGGCTTCAGAATTAAATGAAATTATCACCCGAAAATTATTTTCCACCACAAGCCCACCCGCTATACATGTATTTCATTATTGATGCAATCTCCGTAAATTTCTCAGCATCTGAATTTCCGAGGGAACCTGTGCCAATCAAATATTTTTGCCAATTTTCATCAAGATTAGCAACTGATCATTGACGTTAGAATCGTTTCCTTTCAAAGAACGATAAAAATCCGTTTAATCCGAATTGAGTGGGTTTGCTGGTTTCACCATGCACTTTTTCACGTTTTTTCAAAACTCGTCAAATTTGTAGCCCTCCTTCCAATTATTTTGGAGAAATTTCGATTTAATCGCTATTGATATTTGTAGGAAGCTCAGTCTGGAATCTGGTGATTGCAACATGAGCCAACAAAAGAGATTGAGAAAAATGTCTTGGACAAGAGTTTATTGCTTTTTTTGGTTAAAAATTCAGGGATTT